CGACAAGGTTGTGTATACACCGAGCGATGTATGTCTCTTGGGCATACACCGAGCGTATGTCTTTTTTTTTTTTTGTATCCCGTAGTTTTAGTTCACTCAGCTCACACATTGAGGTCCGTGGTTAGATCTCCGGTACGGGTAGAAACATTAGGTCGTGTGTCCTTAAGACGTCTGCTGTCCCTGTTCACCTAGCAGCAGTAAATAGGTACCTGGGTGTTAGCCGACTGGTATGGGTCGCATCCTGGGGACAAAATTAACCTAATTTTCCCGAAGTGCTCTGCATAAGTTGCTTTCTATATAATGTCATTGATGTCAGCTATGATCTATATAAGTTGCCTCATGTACTTGTGTCAATTAAGATTAATATTATTATTATTATTATTATTATTATTATTATTATTATTATTATTATTATTATTATTATTATTATTATTATTATTATTATTATTATATAACAACTAGATGGTAAGTAAGACATGTGCAACAGTTAGGTATCTGTATTCGGAATAAAGATACTTAACTGTGGCACATGTGTCCTATCAACTAGCCGGTATTTTATATACCACTATCATGTTCACAACCTGATGGGTCGCACCTCCTTGTGAAAATACAGAGACGTCTCTCTCTCTCTCTCTCTCTCTCTCTCTCTCTCTCTCTCTCTCTCTCTCTCTCTCTCTCTCTCTCTCTCTCTCTCTCTCTCTCTCTCTCTCTCTCTCTCTCTCTCTCTCTCTCGCAGTGTATATAACCTGAAAATTTGCATTAATCTGTCCTTTTAGTTTTAAAGTATGCTGGACACTGCCGGCGGCCACTAGGCCTCTGGTACACGCGGCAGTACTGAATGACTCAGCGCTTTTGGAGAACATAATCAAAATAATTCACGAAATCGTAATAACACGATTGTAAACAAACCTCGGTACGGGTGAGGGTTGAACCCATGGCGAGTGAGGCCTAAAACTCCAGGCCAGTGCCATAGGTTCAAACATCACCCGTAAATAGCGAGGGTCACCTCGATACATAAAGGTGCAGATAAAGCAAACTTGAATAACTATAGGCCAATATCCAACTTACCCCTTTTCTCTAAAATCTTTGAAAAATTAATTCATAGAGAATTTATTTCTACCTCATCTCCCACAACATACTCAACTCCCGTCAGTTTGGGTTCAGGCCTAATAAAAATACGAATGATGCTATTATACATATGCTTGAACAAATATGCACTGCACTAGAGAAAAAAGAAGTCCCACTGGGGATCTTCATTGATTTACGTAAAGCTTTTGATACAGTTGACCATGATTTATTGCACATAAAATTATCACACTATGGTATAAGAAGGCACTCCCTCAACTACCTAAAGTCATACCTTAGCAACAGAAGCCAATATGTGGAGCAAACTCTTCCACACAACCAAGTACAGTTGGTGTCCCACAGGGAAGTGTTCTTGGCCCTCTTCTCTTTCTCATTTACATAAACGACCTACCAAATGCATCGCAACTACTCAAACCCACACTATTTGCAGATGACATTACGTACGTCTTCTCTCACCCAAGCCCAGTCATACTAGCCAATACTGTAAATACCGAATTACAGAAAATATCTACCTGGATGATGATTAACAAACTTACTCTCAATATTGACAAAACCTACTACATTCAGTTTGGAAACAGAGCTACAGATGTTCCTCTTAACATAATGATAAACGGATCACCTATCACGAAACTCACAGAGGGAAAATTCTTAGAAATCCACCTTGATAATAGACTCGAATTTCAAACACATGTACAACAAATTTCAAAGAAAATCTCCAAGACCGTAGGCATACTCTTGAAGATACGGTACTATGTTCCACAATCAGCTCTCCTGGTCCTATATCACTCACTCATTTACCCCTATCTCACCTATGGAATCTGTGCATGGAGCTCAACAACAATAAATCATCTCAGACCACTAATTACCCAACAAATGGTTGCAATCAGAAAGATTACAAATTCCCACTCCAGGCAGCATACTCCACCAATATTCAAAAGTCTAAACTTACTCACCATACAAAACATCCATACTTATTACTGCACCTACTACATACATTGAACACTAAACTCAGATATAAACCCTCCCCTCAAACTTCTCCTTATCAACCTCAACAGAACACATGACCATAACACAAGGCACAGATCACTCTTTGATGTTCCCCGTGTCCATCTCACACTATGTAAAAACTCAATGCACATAAAAGGCCCAAAAATCAGGACTTCATTACCTGTGAATATAAAAGAAACACTGTTTATCAATTCAAGTCTCTTCTTAAAAACCACTTACTCACCCACAACTAAATAAATAGTGAATAACTGTATCTCATAAATGTTTAACCTGTGACCCTATCAAACTATGTTTTTTTTTTAATTACATTACCTAACAGAATAATCCATTCTCTTGAATGCACAGTAACTCATCTAATAACTATATGACCTGTTTCTGCACTACAAATAGTACATTGATACAGTATATTGATCATTTTGTTATATTATATATTGTTATGCTATAAATTTGTACAACTACAATGCCTCTTAATTGAAATGTTCAAATTTCATTGTTTAAAATACTCATTTGTATTTCATGTTGTATTTTGTTTACTGTAATTTTTACCACTGAATATATCATTTCTTAGTTAATCTTAAGTTAATTTTAAGCCTGCCCATAATGCCCTGCATACAAGGGGCTTTTGGCATGTATACCCAACTATAATTCCTTGCACTACTATTATCATGTCTAAATAAAGTATTGTATTGTACTGTATTGTATTGTATTGTATTGTATTGTATTGTAATAAAAATGAGCCACGCGGGATAATAGGTATATCTTGCTACTTCTACTTACATTTGCTTAACACTACACATTCATGTACACACATTTATATATATATATATATATATATAATATATATAATATATATATATATATAATATATATATATATATATATATATATATTATATATATATATAATATATATATATAAATATATATATTAATATATAAAATAATGTGTAGTGTAGGTGGTGTATACTATCTGGTTTTCTTCTATATCTTAATAGTTCATGTTCTTTATTTCCTCTTATCTACATGGGGAAGTGAAAAATTCTTCTCCGTAGCCGACTGCGTAGAGTACGGCTAATATGCCGAACAGGGGGATATACCCTCTCCTATTTAAATACTATATTAAAGAAAAACTCTTTTCTTTTTAGTCCCCTGCCTTGGTGAGATCGCCGATCACTGAAAAACAAAAGCCGTTTATCAAATGGAAATAACTACAGGATAGTACATAC